ACACACACACACACACACACACACACACACACACACACACACACACACTTATATATATATATATATATATATACATAAATATCTATGTTAATGTATTTCAATTCTATCCGCTCCTTTGGCTATTCAAAACCAAACAATGGCAGCGCCTGTACTTGATATACACAACTGCAGTATCTACACTCACCTCTAATGAGCCATTCAGGAGTGTTGTGTATAATACCGCGGAGAGTCTCGGCCTCTTCCAGAGACAACACCACATAGTAACGGTTGCTATGCATCTTGGCATGGGATTGCAGAATCAACATGGCCCGGAAGTCCTCAAGAGTGAAGCCCTGGTATTTAAAATCAGGACAGTTTGATAAACGAGCGGTACCTTGCTGATAAGTTCTATAAAATTATATTATATACTTTTACTAACAAACATATAAATAAATACCAATAGGACCATTTGTATTAGGTTGTAAGTACAAACACGCTATAAATTAGGGTCGTTTGTAATAACCATCATAAAATACTTCCTTTTTTATGGGGGTTTTAAAACAAGCATGCTATAAAACAGAGCCATTTATACTGAATACTATAAAATAGGGCCCATTGTATTGGGTTTAAAGTACAAGCATGCTATAAACAGGGCCATTTGTACACATAACTATAAATTAGGATCATTTGTACACATCAAGTATAAAATAGGGCCATTTGTATCCATTAAAATAGGGCCCTTTATAACCATTACTATAAAATAGGGCCATTTGTACCCATTACTATAAAACAGGACCGTGTGTACCCACTACTATAAAACAGGGCCCATTGTATTACATACTACCAAGCAGGGCCATCTGCATCGGGTTACAAGTACAAGCATGTGCAACTCAGCAACAATACCAGCGCTGCTAGGCGTAGGTACGTAGGTACGTACCTGATCGGGATTGGCCAGTTGTTTGTAGTAGTCGTTCAGCTCATTTACATCGTAGATAGGCACATCCACACAACGCAATGCCTCTCTGAACGCAGCCGCTGAAAGGGCAGTACCTACCGCACCACGGGATATACACAACCAATGAATGGGGTGACGGGAGATGTGATATGAGATACACACTTATCACATTAACTTATATATACACACTTTACAATACCAACTTATATATACACACTTTACAATACCAACTTATAAATACACACTTTACAATACCAACTTATATATACACACTTTACCACACCAACTTATATATACACACTTTACAAGACCAACTTATATACACACACTTTACAATACCAACTTATATATACACACTTTATCACACCAACTTATATACACACTTTATCACACCAACTTATATATACACACTTTATCACACCAACTTATATATACACAACGCATGAATGGAGTGTCAGGGTATGTCCTATCAACACCAAGTGCCAAATGTTTTTAAATTCATTGTGTTGCAATAGCAGCACGCAGTACACACTACCAACGAACCCTCAACGGGGGTAAACACTAAAACTTTAAACCCTAAAACCCTATAACCCACACATGCATTCTCCCAGGCTACATCCAGACGTCCTTATTCCACCGTGATCTGTGCCAATGACTTGCCATGGTAACCATGGTTACAAAATAATTACACACAACCGTCGTTACCATGGTTACAAAATGGCTACACACAACAGTTTCAACGGACAAGGTCACAAGGCACGTACTCTCGATAACGTTAACTCTACGTATAATATACAAATCATGCACACTTGCTACCTATTTATATCATCTAATGGTCTTATACAAGCCATACACATACACATACACATACATATGCATATGCGTGATATCTATAATGGGATAACCACTGTATTTATATCACCTAAGTGTCTTACACAAGCCATACACACACACATACCCATACACATACACACGCATATGCGTGATATCCATTTATATCACCTAAGTGTCTTACACAAGCCATACACATACATATACACATACACATACATATGCGTGATATCTATTTATATCATCTACATGTTTTAAACAAACCATACACATACACATACATATGAGTCTTACCTCCAGTGATATTCAACATGTCGAACGCTCTCTCAATACGTTTATTCTGGTCTGCATCCGGCGCCTTGGGAGGCTCACCCTCGATCTCAAAGGGAGACACAGATTCCAATGCCTATTAATAGAATAAACCAAGTTAATTGGGTTGTGATGCTAAGGATATTCAAAACGATCTCAAAGGGAAAGAACCCATTCCAGGACCACATTATACGTTGACATTCACTTTCATTGTAATCTAGAATACAAGCAAATAATATGATAATACTCTATGTATGTAAACATAGAAATAAAGAGAGAACATACTTCATAAGTATATAACTATATAGAAATAAAGCGAGAACATACTTTATAAGTATATAAATATACAGAAATAAAGAGAGAACATACTTTATATGTATATAAACATATATAAATAAAGAGAGAACATACTTTATATGCATATAAACACATAGAAATAAAGAGAGAATATACTTTATGTGTATATAAATATATAAAAATAAAGAGAGAACTTACTTTATATGTATATAAATATATGGAAACACATAGAGAACATACAATATATGTATATAAGTATACATAAATAAAGAGAGAACATACTGTATATGTATATTAATATATAGAAACAGAGAGAGAATATACTTTATATGTATATAAATATATAGAAACAAATAGAGAACTTACTTTATATATATAAAAATATACATAAATAAAGAGAGAACTTACTTTATATGTATAGAAATAAATAGAAATAAAGTGAGAACATACTGCCACATCAGGGATCCATTCCATGATCACGCAGACATTCTTCAGTCGGCGGTGGCTGGTGTTTGCGTACTTTCGGCTCGAGAAATTATCGGAAGTCATCATGTACGCAGGATATTGAATTGGCTTTCCGTGGAATTTGGTATCCTTGAAAATGCCGAATTTGGAGAGTGGGTACATGGCTTCTACCTCAGGGGTGTGTGAGCGCTGTAGATCATCCGCCCAACTGGCACGAGCCGGAATCAGAATTAGAATCAGAATCAGAATCGGGGTTAGACTCAACAATTAAAAATTAGAACAAAGAATTGTAATTAGGATTGTAATTGAGATCAAAACTAGGACTAGGATTAGGATTCGGATAATACAACTAAAATTAGGGGTGGCAATTTCCAGTATTCAATAGATGCTCAGAAGAGTGTAAGACGAACAATAGAATAGATTGCTAATTCTGGCCATAGCGCACAATTAGAAATGAGAGAATCGGGTTTGTTCATTCGGAGGGAAGAAAACGTTTAGTATACACGTGATCGATAAACTCTCGGCCGTGTCGGTTGGGCGAGATGGCTGCACCTCCCTTGTGGGGTATATGCGATATGAATAAAAGCGCACCTTTGTATTCATTAGTATGTATATATTAACGCACATGCACAATTGAGGTATATGAATATATATAGCCATAATTCCGGATACAAACACATACACAATTTCAGTAGCCGGTGTTTTGTATCTCGATGTCACATGTGCACGCGATTGTGTCTTCCACATCGTTTCAGCACAGATTAGTATACATTTTTAGCGATGTACTCGTGCATATACAACGCTATTCCAACATGTATTTGATATTTATCAATCAATATAAATCAATAGACACAAACACACACACACACACACATATATATATACA